GTGGCGGGAGCAGCAGCACCAGCATCCATAGCCCAGACCGGGCCAGTGGGCCAGAGAGCGGCTTAAGCCAGGTCATGCCCGGATCCAGCCCCAACACCCCTCAGCCCATGCCTGAGCAGTCTGCACTGTGCCAAGGCCCTTACTTCCACATCAACCAGACCCTGAAGGAGGCCCACTTTCACAGCCTACAGCACCGAGGACGGCCTCTGACATGATACACCGGAAGTTTCTTACCTTCTGTGAAGGGACAGTGCTGTGCAGATTTGATACTTCAACTTACAATTTGTTTTGAAAAATTGCACACAAAAAAAACCTGCCTCTTGGCTTTTCAGTCTATTTGAAATACCAGGTTAACAGGCAATTGTTTACTTGTGGTTCTGCTGCACTATTGCAATTTCAAAGGGGCTTTGAAGCAATTTTTTATAGGATTCTTTTGAGGGAGGGTATCAGATCCATGTCAAGGTAGTGGTGTAAGGAAATTTCATCTTTGTGTCGCCTCCATAGTATGTCCAATTCAGACTGATTTCTCAATCTGTCAACTAGAAGTTCTACTTTATGTAAAAGGGTCTTTTAAAAGTGTGGGATCTTCAATTTTTTTAATTCAGTAAACTAGTGAAGAGTATCTAGTTTCCATGAAAAAAAAATAATTTTCCAAAAGATAGGAAGCTTGATTCAGTCTTGCACTGACATTAATCGCCATACTACCTCTTAGTATATAGACATCCTATGGAAAGGGTGCTGTCTGTTTCCACAGAACAATCGAATCCAGTTTACTGTGGAAGTGAAGCACTCTCCCTAGTGACAGTCTCCACTCTGTTATATATTCGTCCTTCCAGGGAGAATGTCCTTCAGACTCTTCTATAGCCAGATAACTTCTGTATCACTGTTCCTCCAGAGCCTGCACCTCAGACTTTACTACAAAATACTGCACAGTTCTGAAAGTCAAGGAATACGTGACCACTTTAGGTCCTACTTCAAGCTTGTAGGTTGTATCAGCAGCTTCTGTGATCTTACATCATTCCATCTTGCAGTCTAGTAGCTAAGGCACAGATGAATGCTGACAAAACCTAAGCTAGCTGAACTGATGTCCAAAGTAACAAACAATGAAGTCACCCCTGACAAGACTAGGGGACCACATTCCATTACTGACTCTGGAATGGTATGGCTTAGAAGGAGAAGACCAGAGGCACTGTCCATCAAGCAACACAGTAGAATTTAAGGAGACAGGCATGCTCCTGTGTTATTTTGTCATACTTGAGAGCCAGCCGAGTTTGAATAACGAAGATGAGGATCTTTCATCTTCCTCACTGATGAGCTGTCTGAAGAGGGAGCCAGGCTGCATCGGGTCACCTGCTCTGGAGAGTGCCGGGGGGCCAACCTGCCATTGGATGTAGAGGAAGTGCCTTAGAGTCCACCTGAAGCCTCTGCCTGCTCCCTTTTCGCTCCCTCTGCACTGCAGTCCACGCCCCTCCACCTGGAAGCCACACTGCACACAGCAGAGCTGAGATGCTTGGATGGCTCTAGTAATAGGACTTTGCTGTTTTTCAGGGTTGAAAAGATGTGTGGAACAGCATGGGGTTCTGTTTGCTCATAACTCAAATCTTGAAAATGAAGACTATTCCAGAAGAGAGTAACATGCACCTAGTTTCCACAGTCTGTCCCTCTGATAGGGACAGATTTTAAAGGCCAGTAGTGGGATGGGGAAACTAGTGTTTTGGGGAAGAGTTACAGTACAGGCCATGCTTAAAGAGCATGGGGTTTGGACAAAGTTTTTTTTTTTTTTTTTAATTCTTCACTGACTCACCCAGATTTAAAAGCCAGATGTTTGACGAGAACTTTGGATCTTAATGGCTATGATGGCAGGGAAAATGGAACGGACATGTTTGTTGCTAACGTTTTGTCTAACAATAAAAGAAACAGCTAAATGCTCTAAGAAGACAAGCTGAGCTCTCAAACAGATGTGTATATAATACTTCAGAAACACCCAGGAGGACTCCCTCAGGCTTAATGGATCGCACCCTACTGAAACAAAATGTGTATTAACAAGAAAATGTAAAACTGGAGGAAGCAAACTCTTTTCCCACTCAACTAAAAGATATGGAAGATGAAACCACCACCAGGACAAAAGGATTTTCTCCAAATTAGTACACTCACAATGCTGGGTTGGCAGTTATCCCTCTTACTCTACTTAATGCAAGAAACCATCTTCATCCTGTTTGCACACCGTCTACAGCCTTGCAGCGTGGGATACGTTTCTATTATACGGCTATCTGGTAGTGTCATTATGTGTATGTTAAATCTTCTGTTGATTCAAGCTCTAGGAAAACCTTGTATTTCTCTATTGCGCCGCCATTAAAAGCAGCATTAGTGCATTTTGTCCTCCAGTTCTTTGTCAGTTATTTCACAGGGAGTCGAGTGGGTGGTGTGGGATGGGACAGGCAGGGAAGAACCTCTTCCTGGGCACTAACCTGGGCTTTTGTTTCAGTGCTTCTGCTGGTAGACTTGGCCTTCTGCGTGCTTGTCATGCTCAGGGGAAGCAGCCCGAACCTCCGGGAGGAGAGGAAGAATTTCAGTGGTGCAAAGGGGCAGCCTCCGGGCCCAGTGAATCTTAGGATCTGACTCACCTGATCTGACTCGAAGCCAGCGGCAGGATGTTATGGGCTTCCTGGGAGTTGAATGTGCTGCTGCGGGGGGTGAACTGGTTCACTGTGCCAGTAACCAGTCCAAACAGAACCTGACATACAAGAGCGAGCAGAGTGAAACGCACGAGGTTACTGTCTGGGCCAAACACCTCTCTGAAAGGGAACGTCACTTCTTGATTTCTAACTGTCCTTTTGAGTGTGATAATACTTCAAGATTACTTTCTGTCACTGCCGTGGTGGGTGAGAATCTCACGGCCATGTTCTTTCTTTTGTTGAGGTTTCTGTGAAACTTTCTTAATCCTTACTATAATCTAAGAGGTCAGCTCACAGCCACCCCAGTGTGGGGGATTTTATCTTTTCCTCTTTCAGCCTTTGCAACTCCACTCAGCTACCTGTGCCTCACCCTCTGCCAGCACTGCATCCTGGAGTGTAAGTGCTGAGCGGGTTTACTGTGTGATGTGAGCCTGTGGCACCTTCATTCACTCCGAGAGTGTTTCGACTGACAGAAGTACATTGCAGCAGGTGAGTAAGACAGCTGTTGAGGTATGGTATGAATGTAGGTCCCAGGTCCATGAGTGCTTCCAAGTGGTCAGCCACATCACTTTCTCAGTTGTGAGAAAAGGATTAGCATCATCCTTCACGTGGTTTTTAGGATGAAAAAAGTGTTACAGTTTTTGTAGCTGTAGAAATCCTGGAAGTGGATTTGATGTCGAAATCAAGTCATCTATGTTGTGTTTTTAGGGGAAGCACTAAAAACTAAAATTATACCCAGCACTTATAAGACTGACCTCCAGAGGAACGAGGTTCTGCGTACACTGCTTGACCATTAAATGTACCCAGTAAGTGGATACTACTTCACTTGCTGGTGAACTCTTACTTTTTAGGACAAACCCAGTGAATGTACAGAAAGGTTTGCTCTTCTCTTTGGGGGCAACCCAGAAAAAGGGTACAGATGCTGCTTGGCTTATGATGGGGTCATGTTCCAGTAAACCACTGTAAATTGAAAGTACACTGAACTTGGTCACCAGCCTAGCACCACCATCCACTGAAGAGGGGGTGGTTTCCCTTCACAACTATAGGGCTGCCCTGGAGCTATGGCCTCCTGACCCTGACCAGCATTTTAAGAGAATCCTAATGCATATCACCAGCCTATGAAAAGTGCTAACTGCAAAATCTGAAGGAAGTTCTAAATTCTTACTGATTACCCATCATATTAATGTTGAAAAGCCATGAGAAGAGCCCTCATGAGCAGGGAGTGTCTGTCTGCACCAGGAGGGGACCATGGAGGGAGAGCCCAGAAGAGATTCAATACCTGGAGTCTGGCTTGCTGTGGCCACTCTTCATCTCCTCCTTGATAGTGAGAACCATGCTGAGATAGCGCAGGTCGTAGAGGAGCTGCAGAGCCCAATTCTGGGTCAGTGGGAAGGTGCCTTCTTTCTGTGAGACCCCAACCTGAGGAGAGATGGCTCGTTACACAGCCCACTGACGTACTGTGTGTTCCGATTGGGACAGCTTGTTTCCCAATCAGATTTAATCTCAACTACAGTGTACACTAGAAACTGGGTCTTAAAGCTAAAAACCTAACAGCAGGGAAGAGACCCAGCCTTTAAAACAAACACAAAGGCCTCAGTGCTGCAGATGGCATTTCTATAACCAGGGCGTCTGCACGAAGGAGGGGTATGTGAGGAACCCTAGCAGAGCAGAGTTCACTGAGTCAGTCGCCAAATCGGGACTGGTCTTGCCTTTCTAATGTTTCTAATGGAATGGGAAGCGGAGGCCGGGAGACAAAGACTCCTCTCAAGGATTTCCATGCACCACAGCAGTGCCTGGCACCTGCGCTCCTCGGGCACCCCTGTGGGGTTGAGTGGGGAGGTCTCCATGTTAGCTGGGAGGGAGCCAGCTGAAGGCTTTATCTACTGGGCACATTTGATCCCGAGGAAATGGAAGGTTAATGATTTGCCCAGAGTCTGCAGTGAGCAGGTAGCTCTGCCAGGACTGTAAGCCAGGACTTCTTGCCCTAGGAAAGCTGGCACCTGGCTTCCTTGTCCTGAACCGCCTTCTCCAGGAAGACCCGTCAGGTCCAGGAGAATGGGTGTGAGCCCACAGAGCTGCAAGCCACCTCAAATATAAAAGAACATATCTACAGGACCTGAAGCCTGGGCTGGGTGACCCTTCACACCCTGGACCTTTGATGTGAAATGCCAGCACCCAAGAAAAGGATAAACCTTTATCTGTTACTAAAGGGAAAACATTCGTACACCCACCTTCACCTGCTTTTCTGCTGAAAGTTTCTCATAGGCAGTGACTACTTGAACCATGCAGCTTTTCAGCATCTCCTGCAGTGTCACCTTTGGCAGGGCGTGGCCTCCAACCCGATTTATCTCCTGGCATAAGCTAAACAGGAAGGACTGTACGCACCAGGATGGCTAAAAGAACAGAGGAATTTCTCGTTGCCAACTCACACCCATGAAATGACGGGTAGCAAAGGTGGGCCCGTTTATCCGCATGAGGCAAGCATGCCAGGACCTTGAGCTCCCCACTCGAGCATCTTCCAGATACACAGCCCCTGAGGAGTCCTCCTTGCCATACTCTGGGGCCCAACAGGTGGCTGGGACTGTCATGCCACTGTCTGCACTTCAGGGTAAGTGCTTCTCTCATTAGCAGAGAGCCTCAGCCTCTCAGACTGCTGAGTTCGTACGCAAGCAGTGTCATTATGCCTTGCAGGAGACCTTTCATCTCCATCTGTTGAAAGGAAAAGATGCAGGTTTTCTGTCTATAAAATCTAAGGTAAAAATAAGTAGAAAAGTTTTACACCCGAGCTGTCTTGCGGAGAGAGGTAGGGTGCCAGTAACTGAAAGAAGATGTCACTCCTTTGCTACTGGAGGAGTTTCATGATGTTAGCAAGCCTGGAGTAAGATAAAGGTGAGGCAAATAAGGGACCCTAAGAAGTTCCTGTCAGTCACTTTCAGAAGTGCTAAGCTCCAGACTGGTAGCTCATCATGTAGCTAGAGAACTAATTCTTTAACCTCCTGAGCTTTCCCCTTTCCCTGCTTTTTCAGAACCTTCACCTCCCTTGCTGGTTTCTCAGCACTCCTAGACCTTCCCACGATGCACTGCTTCAGGTGAGGGCACAGTTCTCCCAGGGACTGGCAGAGTCTGGCCATGAAAAGGACTGTGTGCAGCTTGGGGCTGCGGAGCACATCCTCCTGGCCTTGCACAGCTCCCTCGATGCTCTGCAGCTGTGCCTGGATGCAGTCCGTGATATACTTGATGCACGCCACGGAGTGAGTCCGCAGCATGTCCTGCACAGTCCCCGCATCTGCATATCGGACAAAGGCAGAGTTCCTGGCCTGCTGAATGGGGGTGATATCCTTGGGCAGGGGAGCATCATCAGAGGGGAGGTAGGCCAGGAGGTCGTCCAGTTTGACCTTCAGTTTGGAATCCAAGGCAGTACAGAAATTCTGCACGCAAGGACTAATAGCCTGGGCTCTCATGGAGAGGCCACCACTGGCTAAACGGGGTCGGTTTGCCATGCTGACCCAGGCGGCATCAGGAGGCAGGTCGGTGGGGCTCTCAGACCAGAGGAACAGAGACATGTTCTGCTCGAAGTGGATGTGCTTACTGCATGTGGAACTGCCGGTGGTGCTTTCAAATTCCTGCAGAGCTGAGACCAGGAGCTCTTTGGAGCTGCGGGAGATGGATTCAAAGCCTTCCTTTGTCAGAGTCTGAAAGAGAATGAGAGAAGAATTCTAATCCCTGTTCTTTCATGAAATCTCAAAACGAGAGTACCAGATGGCAAGTCACCTCGGCATTCAGGAAACTTACCTCTGTGGCCGAGAACCAAAGAGACCATCACTGATGGACATGGGCTTGTTCCTGGCCACCTGAGTGAGGCCTGGTATGATTTTCAGATCTGGATTCTCTTAGTATGAGTGAGCAGGGACAGACTGCACCCAGGAAGTGACAGGAGGCTCTCAGGGCAGACACGAGATCATACTGGGATGGCGGTGAAATGGGGCCCCCAGTGGTCCACCTCACCTGTAAGCGGTCCAGGAACAGCTGCTGCATCATGTCCTCCCAGAACAGGAGTGGCTTCTCCAGGAGCCGCCGACACACCGCCTCCCAGCTGTAACTGGCAGACTCATGGGTATGTAGCTCCCACATGGCGTTCCGGATCCCTGCGAGCCCTTTCATGCTCCTCACGTACAGGAGCAGGTTGGTGATCCCATTCTTAATGTCTTCATTACACCTGCACAACATCATTTTCCATGATGTCACAAGTTTGATGCCCTGCATGCTGGCCTACATAGTTCAAGAACAGTCTGAACTACATAGTGAGATACTGTCTCCAAAAAACCCAAAGGAAAACAGTTCAAGTTTGGGCATGATGGTACAACCCTGTGATCCTGGCATTCTGGAAGGCTGAAGCTGAGTGATTACTAGCTCAAGCCCAGCCTTGGCAACTTAATATGACCTGTTTCAAAATAAAAGAATAAAAAATAATAGCTTGGGATGTGTCTCAGTGCAAAGACCCGCCCCACAAGACCTGGCATTAACTGGCTTCTGGCCACATCTTATCTCCTCTCTCTCTCCTAGCTCTTACCCAAGAAACTTTACCCTCACTGGCCTTTATTTCCTCCACTTCACTACCACCTTCCTTGCCTTTGGATTCTATACACCCTCTTCCCTTTGCTTGAGCTGTGTTCCTTTCCTTCATCCTATTAAACTACTCTATCTTCAGCTTTCAGTTTTATTATCACTTGCCCAAGAAGTCTTCTCTGACCTTGGCAAATTCTTTTCATTCCATGTTCCCAAGGAAACGTGTACTCTGCACTATAGCAATGACTAATAATGCCATTAAACAGCTGTTTGCATATTGATGAATTCAATATCTGCCTCTACACGTAGACTGTGACCTGCATGTTTCTCCAGTTCCCTGCTGTCTCCTCAGAGCCTGGCAGCTTAGGTTGGCCCACAGTAGACACTGGGTAAAGATCTGTCAGATGAGCCAGGAAAAATGTTGACCAAGAGCTCAGTAGTAAGAAAGGACCCCATCCCATTGCAGGCTTCAAACTTCAAACTCCTAGCACTCCCTATATCTTGGTTCCACTCACCACAGCACCGCAGAGGTGACTATAATCAAATGACTGACCTGACCGTGTAAAAGCTCAATAGCCAGCAGAGAGGGTAAACCTGTCTGGAAAGCCAGCTGCTTCAGGGGGAACCAATGAATGGACCAGTAGCACCAGCCCTAAGAAATGCACACAGCTGGTATAAACTAAAACTGTGAAGTTTTACCCTGAGAGTGGCTTTTTCATGGTGAGTTAGCATTGGAAAGAAATCCAGTGCCCCCCTCCCATATTACCAGAGAGTTTACTTAGGTGCCATTTTTGGAGGAAGTTGATCATATGGTACCAATCAGATGGGACAACTGCACTACAGCTTCACTCCAGGACTGGTGCTACCACACTGCAGTGACTCATTTAGAGACAGAAATTGAGACAATTGGAGAGGGTAAGTACTAGACACAGATCCCCACCCCCAGACCCCCCTGAGAAGCTAAAAGTCAGGCTGAGAAGGACTTGGAGCCAGCATTCTGTGGTGGGGTGAGAAAATCAGTGGGTCTGGCTTCCAGAGGTGGCTGGATGTGAAGGTGGTGACACTGAGTCCAGTGATCTGCTTGTTCACCTGCCCTGATGCCCACATCCAGGGGATACCAGGCGTCTGACTGTTTCCTTGTGTACCCATGTGAGTGGGGACAAGGCTTGGATAGTTGCCATGGACTTGAGTTTATAGACAGGTGACCCCTTGAGCAAGGGGTGACCTTGTAAACTCACAGGCTATAAAGCAGGGCAGAGAGGACTGTGACTTGCTGGATTCCAAAAACCACTGGTGTAAATTCATAGGAATTGTTTTTTTCTTTCTTCTTTTGAAAAACTTTGAGTTTTGTTGTTGCTATTATTTTGGGGATTTTTTTTGTTTGGTTGGTTTGTTTGTTTTTCTGAGACAGAGTCTCCCTATGTAGTCCAGCCTGGCTTTGAACTCGCTGTGGCCTTGAACTCGAAGCAATCCTCCTGCCTCACCTTTCTAAGTGCTGGGATTATAGGTGTGCACCACCATGCCAGCCCAATTTTGGGGGTTGTTTCATTTTGTTTTGTTTTTTTCTTCTGGCGGTGTTTGGAGTTTTCATAATTAGGTCCTTTTTTTTTTTTTTTTTTTTTTTGAGACAGGGTCTCACTTTGTAGTCCAGGCTGGTCTCAAACTCACAGTGATCTGCCTGCCTTAGCCTCCCAAGTGCTGGGATTACAGGCAGGCGTGCACTACCATGCCCGGCTTTTTTTTGTTTGTTTTTTGAAAACAGGGTCTCCTACATAATTCAGGCTAGCCTTGAACTCACTATATAGCCCAGGCTGGTCTCAGACTCATGGTGATCCTCCTGACTTAGCCTCCTGAGTGCTGAGATTACAGGTGTATGTCACTACAGCTGGCTCATAGGTCCTCCTCTTTGTCTCTTTTTAGCTCTTAACTTGTTCCATTGTTATTACCAATATTTTTTTCCTTTAGTTTATGCTGCATTTTTTTTATTTATACTTTTTCTTGTTTTTTCTGTTACTTTTATCTAGTACTACTAATTTCCTTTTACTCCTTAATTTAAGCTCTATTCCCTGCTACCTCTATGCTTATAAATATAATCACTAAGCATTATGAATCTATAGATAAATATATCTTACTATAAATCTTACAGTGGTTGAACACTACTATATTGTTAATGAAGTTATTCTATCGAGTAGATATTTACTGCAGCTCAATATATGGATTGTCTTAGGGTTTATTCTATAACTACAGATCACTTTCCTATGGTTGAGGGTGGTACGTTATTGGTTTTGGTGGTTGTCAATATCCAGTTTATAGTTGATACTATTGTTTGTGATTTTACTACTTTAGCCAAGGTAACGTAATTGATGGTATCCATTGGTTTTCTCCATGTGCTAATATCTGGATTTCCTTAAGAATCATGGATAATACTGCTGCCCATTTCCAGAGAACTGGGTGCTGGGCCAAATAAGCTGTAACCAGCCTTTCCAAATAAACAGAGGTGGTTGGATCCTGGGACAGAGGCAAAAGCCAATAATTAGGCCTAGAGGACATCTCTGAAAAGCAGATGATAACTAAAAAGCTCTCTATAATAGCAAGAAAGATACCCACTATAATTCTGTAAGCCCCAGCACAGTAAACAAAAATAGAAACATGAGAAAACAAGGCAATAGAATGCCTCTAAAAATTCCCAACTTACCCAAAGCCAATGCAGGAGGGACCATGGGGAAGGAAATTAAAAGCCACACAAAATAACTGAAAGGATAATAGTGAAGGTTTTAAAAAATCAATAAAGTGTATGGAGAGCTCAAGATATAATTAGTTGGATAATGATCCCAAAAGAAATGATCTGCAAGTCTAGAGAAGACACAAGAAAAGCTAAAGGAGCTAAAGAAAGAGATGCAAATCATGAATGCCCAGCATACAAAAGAATTGGATTCTGGGCTGGGGACTTAACTCAGTAGTGCTGCCACCTACCTTGCAAGCACAAGGTCCCTAGTTTGATCCCTGGTACAATAAATAAACAAATAAATAAATTGGATTCTATAAAGAGATCCAAGAGATTAAAAATTCTACTGGAAGTATGGGGAGCAGAAACTACCAATTTGAGGCCAGAGTGTCAGATCCAGAAGACAGGAATGTGGATGGTGATCAGTGAGAGACAACATACAAACAAGAGAACATGAAACATGGATCCAAGAGCTTCTAGATGATGCAAAAAAAGCTAATTTAAGGTTAATTGGAATCAATAAATAATCAGAAGGCAGCACAAAGGCATTAAAAAACTGTTTACAGAAATAATGGTGGAAAACTTTATACACATAGAAAAAGAATTTAATGAACAGATGAATGAGGCACATAGAACCACAAATAGGCACAATCAGAAAGGAACCAACCCAAGACACATCACAGTCAAATTACCAGAATTCCAGCACAAGAATAGAATTTTAAAAGCTGTTTGAGAAAAGAAAAGCAATGACTCACTTATAAAGGAAAAACATTAGAATTACAGCAGACTTTTCAACACAAACTGTAAAGTCAAGGAGAAGTTGGAATGAAGTATTTCACTTTTTTCCCCCCAGAACTAGGGATTGAACTTGGGCCCTTGCACTTGCGAGAAAGGCAGCAGAACCAGAGCCAAATCTCTGGCTCCAGATTGAAGTATTTCAGACACTAAAAAGAAGTAACTTCCAGGCTAGGGATTTAGCTCAGTGGTGTGGCACCTGCCTTGAAAGCACAAGGTCCTGAGTTTGATCCCCAGTAGAAAGAAAGAAAAGAAAGAAAGAAACTTCCAACCCAGATTCACATATCCTGCAAAATTGTCTTTCAAAATGGATGGGAAAATAAGATACTGCATGATAAAGAGCACCTAAAGAAATTAATGACTGCCAAACCAGCACTCCAAAAAATTCACAAGGACATCATAGAGACAGTGAAACTAAGAATGCTAAAAGGCTTTATAGAATGAATGCACCAGGCAGGATAAGCAATTAATTAGAAGAGAAAGAAAGAAAAATCAGCAGTAGTAAAACAATACAATAGGAATAAGCGATACCTATCAGTTATAACTTATCAATGTTAATAGTTTTAATTTGCCAATCAAAAGACACAGATTAGCAGAATAGATAAAGAAACAAGATCCAACAATATGCTATATACCAAAAAACACACTTAACCCCCTACCAAAATTCATAGACTGAAAGTCAAAGGATGGAAAACATTTCATCCAACAGGAACCCCCAAACAAGGACGAGTAGCTACTATTTTCAGACAACCTGGACTTAAAGCCAAAACTGATCAGAAGGGGCAAAGAAGTTCACGACATGTTGGTTATGGAAACCATTTAATAGGAAGAGATAACAGTTATTAACATTCATGCACCAAACATTGGTGCATCCAACTTCATAAAGGAAATACTGCTGGTCTTAAAATATTAGATAAATAGCAGTACAATTACAGTGGGAGACCTCAGTGCCCCACTATCACAAATACACAAGCCAACTAAACAAAAAATCAACAAAGAAATATCAGAGCTAAACAAAATCTTTCAACAAATGGACTATATAATATATATATATATATATATATATAGAGAGAGAGAGAGAGAGAGAGAGTATAGAGAGAGAGAGAGAGAGAGAGAGAGAGAGAGAGAAAAGCGAGAGAGTTATACCCAACAAGTGAAACTTTCTCCAAAATATACC